TTGTAAGTAATGCACAGTTTCCAAAAACTGAAAAACGGCTTACAGTAATAACATTAGTCTGCTAAGGTAAAAGCTTTCTTCATCTATCAAGGACCTTCAGCTACGTAAGCATTTCATTTATTTGGGACTACTCCAGACACAATATGTTATTACTATTCGAATCTGGAAATATGTGGGTTATGTTGGATTCCTGCATATTGCAGTACAAAAGAAAAAAACTGCAATGGTAAAGGCAGAGGGATAATTAAATCTGTGTTGAAGCAGCTGTAATTCACTTCTTGTATAGTCAGTGGACAATGCTCATTTTTCCCAATATAAATATACAAATTCCAGGGGGAAAAAAGTATTTATTATACATAAGACAGTAATAGATATGAAAAAACCCTACATGTAAAACTACTGAAGGCACATAAACTTTGGTCCAGTTTTGTTCCTGCCCTCTATCCCCCCTGCAATAAAACTCCGAGGTTAAATACCTTAGAAATTTTCCATTCTTTCTTGATATAATTCACAATGTCTAACTGTTAGGATTTGCTTTGAAAAGAGCAGGCAAACAGTCTTGTATATAGCAAACAAATCCTCAGGAGACAGAAGATACAGTTAAAGAAAAAATTCTGTGCAATCTGACCAGTATCCTTTCAGCACAATGAACAACAACAAGAAGTCTGGTAGTTCTCTTCTAGTTAACAATATACCAGGGCAAAAGGTAAAGGCAAAACAATGCTTTTTTGTAAGCAGTTGACCTCTGATTTGTCAAACAGCAGCATGAGCTAACAGTAAACGATGGCAAGTAGTAGGTCCACATCCCTTATACAAAAAAAATTTGACACTTTCCTACCAACATGAATTGGAAAAGGACAAGGTATTTGATCACACAAACCACACTGGCAGTATTATCATCAAAGGCAAATAGTTTTCTTGGCATACAAACACTGGTTTGCCATCTGTAATTGAAAAATGTCTTATATAGGCAAATCCTCTCAGGTATGTGAAATATCTTAGGCATAAAAAGAACCTCAATCTGTCACTGCACAAAAAAGCGCAACTGACAGGGCCAGCAGTGAAGGCAACCAAGTCAAATTATGAATCAAAGTTTCAGAAATTTGTTCTGATATTCAAAGACATTTTAAAAAATTCAAAGAAGCAAAAATTTTACCATTATGCAACAAATCACCGGTCTTTCGAAAAGGCACTAAGTTGCTCCTAGGTTGTTAAAAAGGCATTACTACAGTTTGAACCAAGTGTGTATCCACCAAAAAAAACGGAGCTAGAGGTAACCCAGAGCAGTTTTGTAGACTTGACTTATACACAGGCAGATTAGTCTACCCTCAACCTTTTCCAGTGCGTGCAGTCGGGATACAACCACCACTGTTTTAGAGTACAAGTTCCAGGTTACACTATGCACATTACTAGGTACTTCACAAATTATTTAAACAGAAATTAAGAGCCTATATTAAAGAAATTATTCATCTATCTTTAACAACCTAAAAGACCACCATATAGAGAAGATTGAGCCAGAATCTTCTTGGGAGCTGCACAGTTAACAGGACAAAAGACAGATATAAGATGCAGTATGTTTAAAGCCTAATTACATATTAGGGAAAAAAATTCACAATGAGAATAGTCAAACATTGGAACGGTGAAAAAAACAGAGAATTTGTGAAATCTCCATTCTTGGAAATACTGAAAACTTAACTGGACAAATCTCTGAGCAACTGCTCAAAGCTGGTCCTACTCTGAGTGAGAGGTAGGATTAAGGCCTCTAGAGGTTCCTTTGCACCCTACATCATTGTAAGAATCTGGGGGATAATCCCTTTTTTCCCAAATCCTGCTCTTCACAGATAGCAAGGGGTATGCTCATATATGCTTTAGAGAATCAAGAACTGAGATGCAACTGTGCTTTTGCAGCCAGGCACTAATGAGCCAAGTATAAGAATTATTCTTTTGGTCATGAGCCTTCACTAACAATGCATTATGATAAACTAGCCTTAACGAGTGCCTTTATTCTGTTAAGCAAACATTAAGCTGTACTATTAGGTTTGAAGCTTTTCTGCACTTCCTGTAAAAGCACATCTCCCAAAGAGGCAACATCTTTAAGATACATACAAATCTAAAGTTGACAAGAATAATTCAACTGCGGAAACAGAACAACAAAGAACTAAAAAAAGATACCTGACCAATGTATCACAAAACCAAAAAGCAAACATCATCCACCACCTAGACTTTTCTTAAATTAAGAAATCCTAAATCTCTACTAACTTAAACTGTAGGCCTCTACATTTCAAACTGCAAACAGTCCAGAACTGACATTAGCTAAGCCCTAACACTAAGTTAAAACTGATAAATTATTCTTGTATTTTGGAGAGAATGTCAAAGGCCATCATCTCTTTATGTTTGACTAAGCTTTCCCATCTTCTGATATCAGAGTCAATAAATTAAAATGCATGATTCACATGTTTATATACATATATAACATACTGCACACACAGCATAAATATACTGCTCCCGATATTATATGTCACAATATTAGCTCTCAAATTTAAGGTTCCTTTTTTCCTTCTTTAGAGTTACATTCATATCTAATATGATTCCTCTCCTCTGTAGTTGTAATTCTTGAGAAAAGTGACAAAGCATGTTTTATGGATAATGGCCTATCAATCAAACCCATTTATGTGCAGTAAAGAATGAACATTCCCAGTCCAGCAAGATTCTCTTTCACAGTGTGGCTGCTAACAAGGCAAAACATAGACTTGAATCAGAATTAAGTATCTTGGTGAAAAAAAGGTCCATTCAAATGAACAAGCCTGCTTACAGCTGCATTTTGCTAAAATTATAAATGTATAACTTCTTAATATGGTGCTCTGGCACCACATAGCTACTTATTTTCACTAATTTAGAAAAAAAAATATTTGATTTGAAACTTCACCAAACTGAATTAACTATTTCAGAAAGGGGAAATGGAAAAACTACCCTCAGTCCCAAAGATAACATTGTCTATTACTCCCAAGCCAATTTAACTTTCCAGTAAATAGTACATTCTGAATATTTATTTATTTATTTGTGTTCTACAGCACTTATTACAGCTACGTATGTATTTAGTCAGCATTTTATCTACTGTCAAATAGTACACTTTTTTTTTGCAGTATAGAGGTCTGGCACCATCTTTACTATGACTGGCTGCTGCACCTGCAATTAACTTACATACATTAAAAGAAGGGAAGGTAGTATCTTGCTGATTTTGCAAAAATAATTCAGAGAGAAAATTTGAAAAAAGCTTACTCCAGAATACTCATATCGTGGTAGAAATATGCCCTTTCTTCTACAAGATAGGTAGAACTCATACAATTCATACGAATTATAGTGAAAAAAACCAAAATGAATAAGTGGCAAAACATTACAGCAAAAAAAAATCTGCAGTATTTAGAAGTAAAAAAAATGCTATGCTTGAGAGGAATATCTCTTTAAAAGGTGGTTGAGTAAATATTAGAAAGAAAAATCACTTAAAATTAGATTTTCAAATACAACCAGAAGTCACTAAAGTTCATATGTACTTTCAACACCAAAACTAACTGCATCTCAGCTCATTCTCCAAAGAGACATGGACATTCAGTATCAAACTTTTTTTCATACTTACAAAGGGAAGAATTATAGCTTTTTATTACTTTAATACTGAGAGAAAAAAATGAAGGAACCCAAAAGAGAATATTCTAATACTTCTCACAAAGTTAGATAAAGTCCAGAAACTGTAGTGAATTTACTGTTTGGTCTTTTTATATAGTGTGAAATTTTTTTCAGCCAAGTACTGGTATCAGACAACTGCAACCAGGTAAACTTGAAGAACCCCTACACAATTATGCAATGAGTCAAACCTTATTCCCACCTCTATCCAATCTCTATACCAAAGCAGAAGAGACTAGAATTCAGAGTATTACTTAATGAAGAAAAAAAAAAAAAAAAAGTTGAGGTATCAAGGAAAACATATTCAAACAGACCAAGAAGAGAATTTTTCAAAGCCCACAATGTGATACTTCAGATAAAACTCCAAGCTGTTGTACCATAAGCACATAGTAAGGCACATAATAAGAAATTAAGTAAATAAATAGCAATTTAAGTATTAGATATTATAGTGGTACAAAAAACTCTTGAGGTTTAATTTTTCTGCCCCCAAAGATGACCTTAACAAAAATAACTTCTTGAAAACTTGTCAAGCCATCATAGACCTGAATGTTTTACGTAAGATTGTAAACATTTAGTTCTTTAAAGAAATGTAAAAAAATCTTTGAAATCAGGACTATTTTTTTGTTGTGTTTTCTCCAAAGTACTATTACACAATATCACTTCACAGTAAAAATAGACATCAAACTTCCATTCTGTAGTTGTCAAGCTAAGTCTGTGATACCACATATTGAAGAAACTTGTCTTCTACTCTGCAGAGAGAAGGCACTGCCTTTTCTCTAATAATTTAACCCATACGGGGAGCACAGACATTTTGGTTTTAAAAAAAGTTATTTGTAAAGATTTGCTGAAGTATGAACACACACCCTGGTAACATAAATATTATTTAGAGGATGGATGCTCACAGTCAACGCTTGTTTTTCTTCAAGAAACCCAAGCACTATTTCACATTCAAATTAGTGTTTATTTTGTGTAAAGTGTATTTACCATTTTATTATAATTACTCTTTGGTATATTGTAAAAGCATTCTAAAATGTTTTGTATGGCTGATTTCGAACAAAGGCTAAAAGGATGTTCTCAAAATATAATTTGAAGTAGGAAATTTGATGATACATATTGTTGCTAAAGCAATTACAAAGAAGAATCTTTCTATGGATGAAAAATAAACTTTGAACACATATTGGCAGCTAAAAGCAGAAAAGATCATCACTTAATTCTTTGTGTATGAATGAGCTTTTCCTTTTAAGAGACAGAGCTGGTCACAGGTGTTTCAGTCTCAATTTGAAGATTTTACTAGAACTGTGATGCACTCTTAAAAGGAAAGTTCACTGAACGGTCAAGTTGTAGATTTTTGAGAAGGAAATTCGGAGGTGATGGTTTTCTCCAAGGTCATGATCATGAAGCGCAATGAGAGCGTGAACTGCTTCTTCCACAGAGCCCAGCTGGATAAGAGCCATTTTGTAATCCTTCCTGAAGTATAATAAAAAACATTATTAATCCTAACCAAATTTTCATTGCACTAGCCAACACAGAAAAGCAACACAAGTATTTTTTCAGCCACATCACATACACTGAACACTTGTACAGTGAAAGAAACAAAACTAGTTAGTTATGCACCTGCTAAAATGAGATAACAAAACCATACAAATTTTGTAGATTAATGGCCTACAGCCATGCGATTTTTCCATGACACTGCACTTCAAAAAACAGGGTTGAAAGAAGGCTTGAAGATGTCTAAGAAACACTTGTATTGTCCATATATATGGGATTATTCTAGCAGGTATGACCATACTAAAATAATGCTGCTAAGCAACCTTAACGAATGTTAGAGCAGATTCATTGCCATCTTCTACATGACATTTCACATACACACAGATTGCATTTATTTTTAAAGGAGCAAGTATTTCTCTCCTTGAACTTATCTTACTATGAACACAGGTGGAATTTGTCAAAAGGCTGAATATTTGTCATTTAATCATGCTAACATAGTATCCCATTTAAAATTTTAAGATTAGAATTATCATAAAAAATGTCATAGCTGCACAGTTTTGCCTATAGATATATGCACATGGAATTTTGCCTGTAGTTGTACACACATGGAATTTCCTAAAAAGGCAATTAGCCATCTTCCAGGATGAAAGATTGCTCAGCATTTTTACAAAAGAACTTACTGGAAGAATTTGAAGGCTTTCACAGTAGATCCAGTACTTGCAAAAAGGTTCTTCAGATCATCAACCGTAACAGAAGGCCTATTTAAAAATAAACAAACAAACAACCCCAAAACAAAACCCCCTCAACTTCTAAAAGAGCACAGAGTTCTGTAATAGTATCTAAATCTCTATTCTGGCTTCTAAATTAAATTCTAACAGCAAAAACTATCTCCACCAACTCAAGCCATGCCAACACTTTAGCCCAAACTTATTGGCTTTGACACTATGATTTAGCAGCAGTGTGCTACAAAAATATTTCAGATACACTCTGCTGCTTTTCATCCTCCCCCATTCCTCCCTCAGTTAAATTCACATTGCATAAAAATCGCTTAAGATTTTAACTGGTGCCTTCAGAAATACTTTTCATCTTGCAATTACTGTTAGCGTGCTTCACATATTTTCAGGTTTGAAAGTTTTCTATTTTACTCTAAAAGCTATTTTCTAAGTGTCTTAGATTTTTTTCCCTTATTTGGGCAAAATTCCAGTTTTCCCTTTTCCCTTCTTGCCCAGCTGCCCAACATGAGAAGCCTGTAAAAATGTATGTTTGGCTGTCACTCCACACATTGTTGACAACATTCTAGATAGAAAAAAAAATTGCTTCAGTTCTAATGAACATGCTTCTTAATAATTTTTTTTAAACAGCTTCCTCTCTATGTAAGAGATCTGAATGCTGTAGAACCTGCTCTTTAAAAAGTGTCAGGATGATTAAAATCTGTATCTACATTAAATAACAATGCCAATGATTAATTTGATGTAATGTAACTCCAGTACATTCGATACCCTCGTCATTCATCTTTGCAAAAATTTATAACACAGCACTTAATATGTAAAAAATAAAAGCATATTCCCCAGAAAATGTACACTGTATTAAAACTCAAAGAGCAGCATTCAATCAGTTATCTTCTTTGCTAATAATAAAAAAGCAACAGTTAAAGGATCCACTTATTGTTAATCACACAGCAGAATGACCTAAATTCTCAGGAAACTGTAAAAGGCAAAAAAAATTTAAAGCTTATGTCAGACTCTGTAACTTAAGAACATAACCTAAAAACCATCATCTTTCCAAGAAGATCACACATGTAGATACTCACGGGATGTTGGAGAGATGCAAGGTGGCAGATGGAGGAAAGATATTTTGGAAGTTCTTGGAGCCAGGCTTCTTAAAGCGATGTAAAGGGCTATTGCTATAGTCCTTTGTCAGACCGTAGTCATCTTGTCCCACATAAGGAAGCTGAACTGTCTGATGTTTCGAAAGAGTAGCACGGAGGGTCCTTCCATAAAGCCTCTGTCCATTCAAGTAGGTGATAGCTAACCAGTGGGAATATAATTTGAATTAAGGGAATCAAAAAAGGATTCTTTGAACAGTAGTATTGTCTTCTGTTTACTGTCAGTTTTCACATTCTAAATTTAAACTGCAACTTCCATGTCTACCAGGTGGACTGTATCATGATATTATGTTTAAAACAAGTATAAGGATGTAATGTAATCTCCAGTCTAAATGCAAGAAAAATGCAAAACAGCATTTCAATAAAGAGCAGCTGATTATTCTTAAATAGCTAGACACAGGATAAACTAGAGGAAAAGTGTATATGTATTTATAAGATAAACTACAGGAAAACTGTATGTTTTTTTAACTCTAACATTTACTGGATTGAGATTCACTGGATTTTTTATTTTAAACCTGTAGAAAAATAATGTGTTTACATGAAAGCAAACATCATTATCAACATATACAAGGAAAAGTTTGTATGTAGTGAAGCATCACAATGATGGATTTAATTTGTTTATGCTTGTCACTGACAGACGTCAACTTCCTCATCTATATCACACTCATGCTTGTTTGAAGTATAACTGTGCCTTAGAAGTCACTACCTAATTGAGCCTGGGCTGCATCTGCCATCTGAACCAAAGCATTTTCTTTTTTCTTAAACATGATCTTCACACGATGCACATCGCCATACACACCTGTGGAAATACAGAAAGGAAATTTGTCCAGAGCATTACTACAAAGAGTGCAAGGGCAGGTCTGTTTCTTTTGACTAACATTAGTGTTAGAAGAATACTCACCTCATTAAACAGGTTGGTTAGAGTATTAATATGAAGGAGAGCTTTAAAGTTTGTGTACTGTTTTCTGAGGCTCAGGAATGGGGGGAAAAAGCCAGGACCTTAGTCATAAAATGGCATGTTTATGTTCAGCTTTTAAACAGTGCAACAAGTCTTAAATTCATATCTTACCAAACAGGATGAAAAGTCCATCTGGTGTGATGGCCTGTTTAAATGATAAAATGAGTACATTATTTTTAAAGCCAGGCAAATAAAGAAATCTATTCCATAAGTGCATGATAAACAAAAAGAATGGAAGAGATACCTGCACACTAATACATAAACCTATCTCTCAAAAGCCATTCCCTGCAATAACTACAGTGTATAGCATTCTTGTTAATATATATTTGCTATGCACATATAAAATATTTAAACAAGCTAACACTTCAGCTCATGCATTTTTATCACTCAAGACTCAGTCTGTCATGCAGAAGTTATTAAGTGGCTTAATTATTTTAACTTGGGCTTTCCAAGCTAGCAGTTTGTTCCCTGAAAAATGAAGGACATTCAGTAAACTAAAAAAGGAGCATTCAAGAACTCCTTTGTATTTTCTAAACAGCAGACAACACCTTCAAAACTAGAACCAATTGCTTCAAAACATGTTTGCTTTGTCTTCAGTTTTGTCCCCATCTCTGTATGTGTCCATAACATTCTAAAATGATACACATACCATTTAACTGTTTATATATGATATACCCAGAAAGTGGTATTTAAATTGTGTTTGATTAGAAGCTGTGAACAGAAAGCTAAATCCTGAAAGAAATACCTTTTCTTGACTGATTTTTAATTAAATCCTTGTGCATCAAGCTCCCCAAGCACCAAAGAAGATCATCTACACCCTAATACAGCCAGATTTAATTCAACTGTGGCAAAGGTTCTGCCAGTAATTAGTAGTAAAAATACCTGGGCATCAGAAGCACTACTCACCCTCTTTTATCATCATCATTTCATGATAAGGAACAATTACTATAAATGTAAAATTTAAATGCTTCTAGAGTTTATCCTTCTGGCCCAAATACTTCAATTCAGCACAGAGTTTCTTTAAAGACATTTCTTAACCAAATAAGATTGCAATATTTCTACTAAAAAAAGTTTTTTGGAAGCCAAAACCAGCTGATCTAAAAGTTGTGAAAGAATACTCAAATGCATTGAAACCCTGCAACAGGGCAGAAGTACAAACTGTAATAAATAATCCACACTTTCTATACAAAGAAAAAAGAAATGACAGGGCTCAGACAACCACTACTGAAGAACAAGCATTACACAGTTGCCTAGAAATGTATTTACAACAATTTATATTTCCAACAATTAACGTTGCATATTCCTATTTTTTACTTTTTTAGAAGTTGACCATTATTTGATGGATTTGTTCTATCACACATTGCAGCACAAAGTTCTACATTACAACTTCTTAGATATGACTAGTATTAAGTAAAGCAGCAATGTCCGAAAAATAGCTTTGACCTATGCTCCACATAAGCTTATTCTTAAAAACACACACTCTTTTAAGACTTGGAGAATCATCTTGAATAACCAGCTGCAGAAAGCACATTCACAGTGATCATCAGAAATTAACTTATATTGACAAATCAAAGAAAAATTGACTTGTCTTACAGTCCTAATCTGTGTCTGCTTCTTTTGGTACTTCATGTGGTACTCAGCTATCAGTACAAAACCAGAAACACAGCAATTATTGAAAGATTAAAGGAACTGGTCAACGGATTTTTAACCAGTAATATAAAGATAACTTCCATCTTGCCAATAACTCCTAATTTTATCCGGTTTATGGTTAAGTGGATCTAATGCATGTGTAAAACAAACAAGAATTTTACATGGCTGCTTATCAACAGTCAAGTAGAATTATGTTCTAAGTCATGGCCTTGGTAAAGCTTGATTTTTATTTAGGAGAGGTACATTGCTTTTAACTAAGTACAGATCAAGGTGTAATATTTGAGTGACAAGGGTAAGTTTTTAGCACAATCTATGCCATTTCCACTATAAAAATAACTAACAAAGTTGTCCTTGGCAAATTTACTGACAACATATGAAAAAAAAATCAGTGTGGTACTATGAAAAATGAACGCGTATTTATTTACTTTTAAAAATGGATTTACAGTGATGTCAATAACAAAGTGCACCTGTGTTCTTCCTCTCCAAGTTGGGAAAACCTGCAAAACTATAAAGATCCTGTCAATGTTTTGAAAAGTACTTGATTTGGTATGCTTTTATCTCTTTTCCTCTTCCCTCCTGTTTCTCTAACTCCTCAAGTTTTGTAGCAAATGAAAATTTCTTTGGCTTCTCTAATGATAAAGTAGCACCCTGTGGAGCCATATTAACAGAGATGCCAATTAGTTTAGTCACAATATATGTTGTTTACCTCTTCAAACATTTCTCATCTCTGACCATAGACTTTTCTCTAATTACCAGCTACAATGCTAACATAGGTTTCCTAACATAAATTGTGTTAGCAAGCTTTTCACTGCTGACTGGAGTTTTAAAACCTCATCAATACTGTAAACTATCTCAAACAAGAATAGAGCTATCCTGTTTTTTATATTATCAGCACAGACATTTCCTCTCTTATTCTTTCAGCTAATGTCACTTTGCAAGAAGGATTCTGGCAGCTGGTACAAGTTAATACTTGCATCAGTTCTACCAGTCAAACTTACTTCAGGGTTGAGGTTGGTGACTAGTAAAACAGAATTTCTTGGAACACCAGTAACACTAGGAACAGCCATCTGTCCAGATGCTGCAGATGTGGCAGGCATGCTGACTGGGAAAGAACCAAGTGCTCTAGGCAGAGCAGGAACTGGAAGACCTGGAAGGGCATTAATGGCATCACTTGACATCTCAAAGTGGAAAAGACATTTTAGAAGACAAAAGCAGGTTATGTTTGGCAAAACATCAATATTCAATTGAAAAAAATGCTTTTAAGGTATTCCTAGTATCTTTACAATAAAGCAGGAAGCACGTCCTCGAGAGATGAAGAAATATTCAGCCACACCAACAGATACAAACAAAAGGGGATATATATTGCAGCCCAAGAAAGAAGAAAAAAATATTAGCCCAAAAGTTTATCCTCTGCTAGAAAAGAAAAGATCACTGAGTCTAGAAGACTACTTATTTCTCATTTTATAGCTAGAAAAAGTGGGGACTTCTTGCTTTAGCTATGACTGTTACTGAAGTCTTATGATTCTTAGAAAAACAGATGCTTAGTTTCTTCTCTTGCAGGTAATCTTTATTATGGCATTTAATTTCTTCATTTATTAAATCACAGACTATATTAGCATATGTTTTTTATTACAGAAAGTAATCTCACAAAAGAATATGAGGAGAATCAGAACGGCTGAAATGACCATTGTGTTCTGACTGCTATATCTGAAAACAATTTGCTCTGAACACAGGCGTATTCATGCAGGCCACTAACCCCAGATGCAAATACCACATTTTTAGAAAGTAGAAACTTACCAGCACCTTGAGCAAAGCCCATGGGTGGAGCAAACCCAGGAGGCCCTGCATATGATGGGAACATGACATGTTGGGTGCCTAGAGAGAGCAGACACATCTAATTAAAACAGATCTTAAATTTTAGAAAACTTAAGAGACTTCAGAAACGTGCATCAGCTTCCAGTGTTGCTATTCTGGCTTTGGTCCGTGATTATCATAGAATCATAGAATCATAGAAT